TTCGGCATCTTGTGCTTACTTCCTTGCGTACGGATGACAGCTGCGTATGACTTAATTTACTTTCTGGTGCTTTCACTTCCAGAGACAGTTGTAAGCACTGTGTAACTGCCTCGAGGGTGCTTGACCATTTTAACACAACGTGGTGCGATCATCCCCCTTGCGCGAGGTGAGGGTTCTCGATCCCGCACAACATGATCTAGTCGACCACCATTATGGTTACCGCCACAAAAAAAAAGGTGAAAAAAAATACGGCAACCTGGTTGCCGAGTTCACGAAGTGGCTTGGCTTGTTTTACAACGTCGTTGCCAAGCGACGAAAACCCAACCCCGATGGTAAACATCGGGGGGGAACCCCGGGGGGTGGGGAGGGGATTGAATTAATGAGAACGGCAAGCAGCGGCAGCAGCAGCAGCAGCAGCAGCCACTGCGGCAAACAAGAACGGCAGGCCAACAGCGCTGATAAGCAGTATCCTCAACAACGACCTGGCCGCATCGGTTTTCATCTCTGTGGGGAAGCAACACGCAGATGCGCCAGCTTGACCGTCGTTCTTGCAAATAACAGGGTATTCATACACGTGATACACTGGGAAGAGTACGAGACATTGTACCCTACGTTCGAGTGCACAAGCAACGAGACTGTATTATAAAATTAAGATCCATTTTGCACTTGCTTCGCCAATGATGTCGGGGACGTGCTTAGTACCAGCGATCTTCGGGGCAAATCGCGCAGCAACCTGCAAGCTTCCTCTCGGGGAGCTGATTTACCCAAGAACACACGCAAACGTCCGGTCCCTGAAGGACTTGTGCAGTTGTTTCTGCACGGCCTCCCTGTCGCATCCATGTGTTAATTTGTCCGCCAAGCACAGCAGTGTATCAAATACCTGCTTGGCTTCTCGCGACGCCACGGCCATGTCCAGCTGCTCCTTGTCCTCGCACAAGATGATGCTTCGGTACTCGGTGCCAATGTCCATTCCCTGTCGGTTTCCCTGCGAGCATGCCAACCGAAAGCAAGGATATCAACAGCGAGTCGGCGTGAGTGGTCCGATGGCGAAAAACAAGACAATATAACGTTGCGCTGTTGCGGCTTTTTCAAGACGCCTACACAAGCGCGTTCAAGAGCTACGAAGGCACACGGGGCGCCGAGCGGCGAAGAGCAAAAGCCGCGCTCAATCTCGTATCTACCTGTGTGGGGTCGTGGGTCTTCCAAAACACCTCCAGTAATTCGTCAAACGTAACGACCGCGGGGTCGTACTCCAGCAGCACTACTTCCGCGTGCCCCGTCCGTCCCGAACAAACGTCCTGCGGGTGGGATATTTCAACAATTAAGAAGGTACGGAGTGCAAAGACAGGCGAAGACAAGAAGATATACTATTTACGGTGGCACATAGTTAGTGGGAGCAATTTTTTGCTTTTTTTGGCGGCAGTATTTTTTTCTCTCAAGCAGTGTTAAAAAATATTATTGGACAGCTGGAAACAAGCACTACTGCCCAGAGGCTTTATACGCAATCTACAGCACGGTTAGCAGACCCACCACACATCAAATGAAACACGGAAACCACCGCTTTCAAATGAGCCGGGCCTTGCTCTCATCAGACAACCATAAGGTACAGCAGTTGCCGGCGAATATAGGGCACTTTTTCACTACTTTTTTGTGCGGGCCTGAAAAAAAAAACAGAACGGATGCGAATTAGCCATGCATGTAAAATTTTTTGGAAACCCTATGATTTCGCGCACGCGCACATCAGACCAGCGTTGGACACAACGCAGCCGTTGTCGAGTACTGCACGCTCAAAGAGGGGCCTCTCAGCTATCGGCCGATGGCGAAGCCGAAGGGCAGGAGGCAGCCAACTGGTGGTGTAGTTGGACGCCCTTCCAAGTCGGACAAGAGAGCCAAGACAGCAGCAGCGAGAGGTGCGTTGGCCCAGGAGAGACTCCAAGCTGAGCTCGAGCAGCAACGTGCAGCGCTCGCGGCGGACAGAGCAGAGATGGCGCAGAGGGAGCAAGCGCTCAGAGCGAAGGAGGCTGCGTTCGCCAAGAAGGAGCAAGAAATGGCGCGCGCCGCTGCTCAGCGGGAAAAGTGTGAGCAGCAGGAGGTTGAGCGCGTCCAAGCAGCAGCTGCTGCTGCGGCGGAGAAGGTTGCTCAGGGCCTGGACTACATGGACACATCTGTGCACGAGGTGAAGCCGAAGAAGGGCGAGGTCTGGACCCAGTTGCAGTCAAGGATGGTCCTCATGCTACTCTTCGACCTCCGCAAGGAAGGTTGCTCTGAGAACGAGGCGGTGTTGCAGGTCAGTACACAGCAGTGAAGGTCGGATGGTGTGGCACAGCAGCAGGCCGATGTCTTTTTTAAATATTCATCTTGATCA